AAAAAAAAAAGAACATACCAGCTGAGTAAGAGCATCCCTGGTTACATGACCAGAGGAAGGGAGTCGTGCAAGGCCTAAAGGAAAAGATGAAGAAAGTTCCTCTAAGAAGCGACTTTCGTAACCAACCTTTTAATACTAAAACATTGACAAGAGCAATAAGAGGGCAGGGTCCATTGAGGTTTTGGGTAACGATTGAAAATTTGAGTGAATCAAAATGAATAGATTTTAACTAAAAAGGTTGAAATCACATGAATAACACCAGAAAAAAATGTGAAAACTGATCAATGGCAAACAGATAAGAAGCAGTGATTGAAAAAACCTTAAAGTTATCGCGATCGGAGTCCTCTTGTGAATGGCTTGATGCGCTTGAAGCGGTTCCATCAGAGCACTTAAATCCAACAAAATATAATAAAGTAGAGGATGGAAATAGAGCAGTTGTCAAACGTTACTTTAGGTTTCTCCTCTTCACGACATGATGGGACGGAGTCCAAACAAGCAGGTTCAGGAACTGCTTCGCTAATAGATTTAATCTCATTAGAAGTACTTTCCTCGGGAAATCCTTCTACAATACGCTCAAGAATACTATTTAAGAGTTCAATAATGACGTCACTGTCTGCATCTGTTACATTTTCTCGACTTTCATTACTATGTACAAGCATATCCACGACCTGAAAGCAATATCTTTATAGTGGAAAACTAACCGATTCAAGTAATCTAACAACATTTTTAACATAATGAACTATATATTCTAACAAGTCAAAGACTACACAAAACAACATGATGATGCATATCAAATCAGAATTTCATTTCGTCATAATGGTATATCAGCGATCAAAAACTTGCTGACAGCGGATCGATCAGGAAAAATTTCAATTGGAGCATGGAATCTTTCACTGTGTCCGCATAACGGACAATTCGAACGGTTCACGTTGCCAGCTTTTGGAATTTCAGTAGTTTTCTCTGATGTTCAGGCGCAAGACGGCCTTTAGTGGAATATTGCGAAGAGCGACCGGAAAGGGCTTGGGCTTACTAGAAGGACTAGAAAAACAGCGTTAATGTAGTCGAGCTCACATTATCGCTAAGATAAGAAAGGAGATGAAAAGTAGGACTATTCATAACTGTTTTTTTTTGCTTGTTTATCCGCGAAAATATGTAGAAAAGAAACGTATTATGCTACTATGCGAATTATGATAACTTCCTCCACATTTTTAAGCTTACAGAACCATTGGGAGAAAAACATCACTTTATCGAATTGTAACATACTAAGCTTGTATTAAGCTATGCTTGGTCTTAGATAACCACAGTTTGGTCAAAAGATAGGACATCTTATTTTTCTCCCCATAATCTGAGAGATGTGATGTTAAATACAGTCAACGTGTTTGATCGTTTGGAAGAATTAGGACAAATTTTATGCAGTTTAATTTATTGCTTTAGGATTAATAGAAAGATATAAAGTAAGTGAACAAAATGGACACGCTTCATTTTTTGCCAATATCGTGTGACGAACAATTCATGGCCTCCATTCTGATAACTTCAAACATTTTTTCCTTCAACGAGCTTTCGCATTGCTGCACGCGGTATCTCTTTCCAGACTTCAAGAGTTGTTGTTCCAGGTTTCCTACACCTTCGTACTGTCTTCCGGCGTAAATTGAACGAAGCATGACCCCGCACAGATTTACCGAATTTATGTCTGGCCTTCTTTAGGATCGCTCCAGAATTCGAGTATTCTTGGACCGAAGCCTTGGTAAAGCGACAAGAGGCATTGGTAGATTAATCTTGGCCTCCGACAATGGGACCAAGGAGTAAAACAGGGGCGGAGTATTGCTTGATGCTTGAGAGAATCCATGCGACCGACCGTCCGCAATAATCACTACCACTGATGCTAGAACTAGAAGCCCCCATCAGGTCTGTACTGTCACAATGTCACATGCTCCATGTAACATGGTCAAGCGCCCTTAGCAATTTTGTGACATTCTGTTTCGCCATTTATCTTATTAATCATAAGGGAAAATTTGTTCAAACGTTCTCTAATAGCCAATCGAAATGCGAACTTTTCAAAACTCCTCCTAAGCCGCTTGACGGAAACCTCTTTATTGCTCGCGAGACTTGAAAACCACCCATGCTCCTGAGAACCTGGTTTGATGAAGTTAAAAATACATGCCTAGAACTGTTCAACAGCTTTGAAATCTCTGCTACACTCTTGTTCTAAGTCTTGCGATGATCGGGGTTCAAAGCCGCGGCGGGTTCACCGAAACCAAACCGAATCTTACAAAAAAAACCTTTAAACAGGCTAAATAAACAACAATAGTTTAAATCTTAATTCCAAATGATTTCTAAATGTTGATCTTGAGGAATGGCAAATAATTTTTATAACAACTCCTGCATTATTTATTAGAACTGCGTAGAATTTGCGTCGCAGATTTTTTGAGTATGTTGAAATTAATCACCAACTCTTTGAATTACTGGAAAAAAGAAAATGTCCTGTCACTTGCACCCAACTTCATATAATATAAGACTTATAGGTGTTACCTGCCTACTGTTCGATTGTTAAGAACATTCTTTGTATTTCTAGGTCAACCTAGTTACTCATGACTCATTCTGAGCAGCGGACACGAGATTTCTCCTCACTCTGGAGATTAAAGGCGAAGGTGGCTGGCGGTGCGTTAAGCGATCACCTTATTCTGGCAAAAATCTTTATTTAATGATATGAAATGAAGTCGTATTTGCGCTCAGCCCAACGAGAAAGCCCATCATGCAAATCTCCACCATTTTATAGAATATCTTTGGCATATGGCAATGGCGTTTTATACCCTCTGAGATATTATAATGAAACCGTAGTCCTACTGGCAGCCAGCGATGCGAGCTTGCTTTCGATCGAGAACTAAATCTCAAAGATTTAATGAGCATGTAAGCCCATAAAGGATTTCTAAGCGAAAATTTTGACAGTAATCAAGCGGTTATCATATTGCGTCATAACCCCTAAAACATTGGTCTAATACGAGGCATGAATATTTGAAAAGTTCGGACTAAAATTCTGAACTTGAACTTTGAAAATTTTTCCTTTATACGGAGGTGATCGTTTACAGTTATTTCGATAAAGGCAGTGCGTGTTGAGTTAATGGGTCTAATGACCAAGGAAGGCACTTTGTTTCGGCTTTGAAGCCATTAAACGTCTATTGGGCAGGGAAAAACCATTGAAATTATGCACGCGGACCACAAGTGTGGTTCTCCTCACTATGATTTCTATCGTCTTATTTCTGCTGTCAGTCAACAGATTCTTCTTTGCTTTAGTAGACAGTTCGCTAACAGGGCGGCTATATGGATCCTGTGCTAGCTGAATGCTGATGCCCTTCCTAAACTCGTCATAATCCTCCTCGTGCGGCACATCTTGAAAATTGTTTGAGGAAGACAATACAGTACATCATCTTGAACTTTGGGGTTTCCTCTTTTCAATTCCTGAGGTTTCACCTCGCGTATATCTTTGGAGCAACATTTTGTTTGGAATAATAACGCAAAATAAGGGTGACGGCAAGAAGAACACGGAAGTGTAGATGGAGGAGGATTAAAGATAGAAATGGTAGTGGAAATAAGCCAAGTCAGGCCTCAGGACGAGGTCTCCGGTTAGGCTTTACGTAATTAAATATCTTTCTGGAGATCCAGTGAATTACAGAAACCTCTTTGCTACATAGAGAAACGGGTGCAGACAGGACGAGTACCACAGAATAGTTTGGAGCGCAGTTTCTCTCAAAATAGAACGATTAGGACCCTAGCAAGGAAGGGTGAAAGT